AAGCATCCGACTCTTGACTTTGACTCAGGTCATGATCTCAGGGTTTGTGAGTTTGAGCCCCACATCGGGCTCTGTGCTGGCAATGCAGAGCCTGCATGGGATTCTCTCTCTCCCTCTCTCTCTGCCCCTCCCCTACTTGCACTCTCTCTCTCTCAAAATAAATAACTAAATATTAAAAAACATATTTAAAAAAAAGAGCGTGGCTGGGAGGCAGGCCCAGCTGATTCCATGGAGAACGGTACCTTAACCTCTCTGAGCCTGTTTCCTCTTCTGTAAAGTAAGATTCAGGCTCTTGCCATCACACACACACACACACACACACACACACACACTCAGTGTGTGGCAGAGACCACAGACTCACACTGCCTGCAGTCTAACTGCAGAACCGCTGCTGGCCAGCCATGTCCCCACACCTGCCTGGGGCCCCAGCTTCCTTCCTCATCCATAAAACAAGAGCCCCTCTCTTCCCTAATTTCAAAGGACTATCATGAGGCTTAAATGAAGCCATGTTGGTAAAGTCTTATCACAGTATTCAGCTCTAGGATATGCTCAATAAATATTTGCAACAATTATTAAACTTTTTTAACTAAGCACCTATCTATGCACTAGGAATGTGCTAGATACTGGAGACATATTCCTGAATAAGTCACAATGCCCGTTATCAGGCACTGTTACAGTTAAATGGTATAGATGGGGGGATTAAAAAGGGCACCCACGGACACACACACCCCTGATGCACTCCAGGTTACAAGGACAAATACTCTGAGGTCCTACCCTCGTCTCCTCCAAGGTCAGGATTCAGGCCCATCCATTGATGTTCACCTAAGATAGAATTTTGTGGATACATCCTTCTGCTCCCCCATCAATCCCAAGGATTGTGCCCAGAAGTGACCTCAAGGTGTTTTTAAAAAATCTGTGTTGTAAAGATGTCAAAAGCACAACATACAACCTGATACAACCACTGTGACAGCATCTACGAGAGGTGAACATCTCCCGGTCTCATGACCCGCCGTTCCACCACTGGGTACTTCCCCAACGGAAGCAAGCACTGTGTTTACCCCAAACTTCATAGAAAGTTGTTCACAGCAGCTGTATTAGTCATAGCCTAAACTGGAAGCCACCCAACCATCCATCCACAGGCGAGCTGCTGATATAGGCAACCACATCAGTGAGTCTCAAGCACACTGTTGAGTAAAAGAAGCCAGGCCCCAAAGACTAAATTTTATGATTCCATTCATATGAAGTTCTAGAATAAGAGAAATCTACGGTGGTATCGGTCAGAATCAGTGCTTACTCTGGGAAAAGGTGGGTGGTGACTCAGAAGGGGAACAAGTGAGCCTTCTGGGGCACAGGGAATATTTTACATCTCAGTCTTGGAGTGGCTGTGTGGGTGAACACATATGTAACACTTTGTTGAGCGGCACAATTAAAATTGGCACATTTTATGTACGTCTGCTATACTTCACAAACAAAAAGTTTATTTAGTTTGAGACAGAAGGCAGGGATGGGGCAGAGAGAGGGAGAGGGAGAGAGAATTCCAAGCAGGCTCTGCGCTGGCAAAGCCCAATGCAGGGCTGGAACCCACGAACTGCAAGACCACGACCTGAGCCGATACCAAGAGTCAGACGCTTAACCAACAGAGCCATCCAGGAGTCCCTACACGTCGATTTTTAACAAGCAAACAAACAAAGCAAGGTCCCTTAAGTGTTACTTGGTGCATGTATCCTATGAGGAAGCCTAAGCAGGATGTGTGATGGGTCCATAGTCTCCTTGGCACTTCTCAAATGGAGGCACCAGCCTTCCGGGGAAGTCCCCAAGGACCAACCCCCAAAAACTCTTTCAACAATTGAGACGTGAAAAAGAAGCAGGTGGGGACCAAGAAAGGTTGGCAGAAATACAAACACAAACACACTGAGCTGTGCTCAGCCACAGTTGGGTATGCTGTTCCATACACAATAGTGTTTCCTGTGGCAACTGTGTATGTTAACATTCAGTAACCAAAATTATCACTAAGCCAGCATCTTCCAGGCCCTAAATTGTGTGAGCAAATAAGAATTGGCTGTATTTATGAGCACAGTCCTTGGAAAAGACCCGCAATTACCAGTAATGCATCAGCAAAAGATCCAAGCACCTTTTCGATTCAGCTTTGCCTTTGCAAGGGGTTGCACGCAAGTGGAGTGTTTTCCTGCCCACTGAACTCTAGTCGTTGAAGGGAGAAAGGAATCTGCCTGGATCACTGAGGTGTTGCTGGACACACAATGGCCCGATTTTCCAACAAGTCTTTGGTGGGGGGGGGGGTGGCGGGTGGCGAATATGCAAGGGACAACTCTGAACTCCAGCTCTGGGAGCTTCTCCTTATGAAATCCTGGCTTTGTAATGCTAAGGTTGCCCTTGGGCCCCAGCCCCACTTCCCAGGTCTGTAGGGAGATGTGGGGAAGAAGCTTAGATCCCCTTTGAGCCCTCTGAAGAAGGTCTTTTTTCTATGTCCTGGAATCTTCTTCCACAGATGAAGTTACTTGTCTTCTTAATCCCTTTGTTAAAAACCGCAAAAGAGGTTTGGCCAAATCCCAAACGCCCTGCCTTTTCTATGCCCTCCTCGGTGGCAGAGCTCAAAACGGGAGCTCCCTGGGGAAATGTCAGGACCCCGGGTCCCTCCGTACACCCGGAATAATTCCTGAGCAGACACAGGGGGACTTCCCTGGGTTCATGCCCTGGCTTACTCGCTGGGATGGCCCACTTTCTCCATGCAGCCCAGAGCTCCCTGTGTGGATGCACTCATTCATTCACTCATTCACTTCATTCGTTCTTTCAACAAGTCAATATCTGACATCCAAGCCAAGCCCAGCTCTGGAGTAGGCCCTGGGGAGGCAGCTGTGAACCAGGTCTCCCCCCTCAAGTCCCGTACAGTCTGGTCGAGGAGGTGGGTCTCAGACAATCATAACTCAGTGGTGCAGAGTCACATAAGTGAAGCCTGGGGTGCCGGAGCACATGATCGAGGAGGCCTCCTTGGGGAAGTGGCATTTCAGCTGAGATTTAACAGATTAGCAGGAGGAGCCCGGCAGAGCTGGGGAATGCACACGGCTGGAGGCAGCAGCTTGTGCAGAAGCAGGGGGTGAGGAACAGCATGGTTTTCGGGAACCCAGGCAGAAAGCTCAGGGGCTGCAGTGTGAGGTGTGAAGGAAGGTGGCCCCCCTTCTCTGCTGACTTTCCCTCATGTGACTGCCCTGCGTCCCCTCCCCTCCAGCCACCCTGGCAGCCTTCCTCTTCCCTGATCCTTCTGGCACACTCCGGCCTCAGGCTCCAGCTGTTCCCTCCGTCTGCAACTCTCTTGCCCAAAATATCTGTCTGGCTAACTCCCCCACTTCCTGCAAGTTTGTGCTCACACCCCCCCTTCTCAGTGAGACCCTCCGGGCAGCCACTTATTACCACATACTCCCCCACTTACCACTAGCCTTCTCCCCGCTCTCTCATTTCTCTTTCCCACAGCATCCCTCACCTTGCAACACACTATCTACTTTACTTATTCGTTATGCTTATTGTCTAGCTCCCCCACTAGAAGGCCAGCTCCACAAGGTCAGGACCTTTGTCCGTCAGGACCTGAACCACCACAAGCCCGTGAACATTTGAAGGAACAGACTGCTGGGATCTGAGAGGGTAGCAGGGAGGGTCTGGGTTGTGGAGGCCGTATAGGCTGGGAGAAGGCCTGTTCCCAAATGCAAAGGGAAGGCACCAAAGGGTTTTCAGTAGGGCAGGAGTAGGGTCTGAGTTACATTTTAAAAGCCTGCCCTAATCTATGTGGAGAACAGCGTGAAAGAAGAGAAGCTACTGCACGCATTCCGGCACAGGGCAGTGGTGCCCGCGGTAGGGTTGGGGCATCGGAAGTGGATGGATTGACGAGGCCCCAGGAGGTGGGTTCATCATGCCTTGGTGATCTGAGGATTGTGGCTTGCAGGGAGACAGGGCAAAGCAGATCCCCGCCCCCCAGGCTCCTGCCTGAGCCACAGAGCCAGAGTGGGGGGCACTTGACAAGAGGGGAGACAGGGGAGGAACCTGTTGGAGGCTGGAGTGATCAATACTTCTGTGTGGGCCATGGTGAATAGGGCCTATTAGACTTTCATGTGGACATGCCCGGTAGCCTGTTAGCCAAAGTTTAAGCTCAGAGTGAAAGTCTGGTTTGGAAACATGCATTTGGGGACCTTAGGCTAAGAGCTGTTTTTAAAGTCATGGGAGTTTAGAGAGAGAAGAGAAGATGTCTAAGAACTGACCTTGAGGACCAGACCCTGAAGCCTTCTGAATTGGCCCTTGAAGGTTTCCCAGGAAGGCAGGGAGAAGGTAATCCATGTAGAGGCAACAACATGGATAAGACTTCAACATAAAAGAATATGGATCTCAGTGCTCTTCAAAACTGTCAAGGTCATAAAAAACAAAGAAAGTCTGAAAAACTATTACAGCCAAGAGGATCCTAAAGAGACATGACAATTCAATGTAACGTGGTGTCTTCGATAGGATCCGGGAACAGAAAAGAGGAATTAGGTAAAAACTAGGGAGATCTGAATAAGGCATGGACTTCAATTAATAATAACGTATTGATATTAGCTCAATAATTGTAACAAATGTGCCACACTACATACATGTACGTCTACATACATGTAAGATGTTAACAGAATGACCGGATGCATGGTGTAAGGAACTCTCTATACTATCTTTGCAATTTTTCTCTAAGCCTAAAACTGTTCTTCAAAAAGTCAATTTTTTTAAAGAGCATGTCTTATGAATGTCCCTCAACATGTGCACACGTGCATGTGTGACACACACATGCACACGCACACACTCACACACATACTCCAAGGGCTATCATAATTTGTTTCTCTGGAGAGGACTTCAACCTTGATCAGTCCCTCCTGAGGGAACTCAGCAGCACTATGAGGAATATCTCTTCAGTCCTCCCCTGACAGGGAAGAGAGGGTCCTCACCTCCACCGACATTCTTTTTGTTCACAGAAAGAATACTCTCCTCAGGCCATATTTCATCACGAAAATGAGAAGCAGAGACTAAGTGGCTCAGGTAAGTCAGACCCACCTAGAATTCCTCAGGGGCGCTACCAGACTTAATCCTTTTCGAATGCTCTTTGAAAGCACATAACTTAGTCACAATTTTCCTGAACCCTCACCTCGTTCAAGAGCTGGCTTTGTTTCCCCTCGGCAGCAAAAGTTGTGTCATCCTCTGGGATCCAATTCCAGCTCCATTACTAACCACTTATGTGATTGTGGGCAAGTCACTTGAGACGCATTTTTCTTATCTCTAAAATGGGCATAACCATACTTGATTAAAGGGTGGACTAAATGAGATGAATAATAATAATAATAATGAGGTGAAAGTATATAATTTCATCCTCTAAAGCATGGATATGGAATAGTCAGTGCTAAATGTCTGTTACCATGCCTGGCACTCGTGGTGGTTGGTTGTGGATGAGACACACGATCAGTCTGACCAGTCAGTGATGTCCCCAAAGATCAAAGTGTGTCACTTGGATCCTTGGGACCCTGGGTGGTGACTAAGGAGTGGAGAAGTACAGAAATCTCTGAGTCCCAGCAGGAGCTGGGCTTGGGAAGTGGCAAAGCACCGGCCAGAAAGCACTTAGCTGGCAGTGGCCTAGGGAGCACCCGGCTGGAGAGGACACGGAGACACAGGGAGACAGTACCATGTGATAGAGGCTCCAACAACCAGCTCAAGATCCCCACACAGGCACAGCTTTGAACAGAGGCCCTCTGGTACCCTCGACAGCCCCAGGGGTCCTTAGATTTCAGGGGCACCGGTTTTGTGGGTAGAGAACTGGATTGAGTCTTGGTTCCTCCAACTAGCTGTGAGAGCATGCCACCTCCCCTTCCAGAGCCTCAATGTCCTCATCTCTAAACTGGAGAGAACACCTAGCCTTCAGTACTTTTGTGAAGAGTAAATGAGATAACAGAGGGGTAGTAGAGCAGAGTGGCCCATGTCTTGGGTCAGAATACCTGGGTTTGTGTCCCAGCTCCACACTGTGTGATCCCAGATAAGTTACTGAACCTCTCTGAGCCTCAGTTCCCTCACCTATAAAATTGGAAGGCTAACAGACCTTAATTCATAGGGTTGTGAAGATAAAATGAAATAGGACTTAAAGCACACAATAAACAGTAGTTTTTATTTTAGAACGAACTTAGCACAGCACCTGACAGAGGAGATAATGAAAATTGCCAGTTTCTTATATCGCCCAAATCTGCCTGCTGACTTTGCTCCATTTAGACTACTTTGGTTGGGCCTCCCATCTCTGGCTGTTAAAGGGATTGTACCAGCTGGGAAAAATCAATCTTGGAGAGTCTTGCCACAGCCTTCCTTCTCCAGTAAAGCCCCTGCTTCTCAGTGCCACTCACTCCAGGATACTTTTTTTTTTTTTTAATATCAGTATATAGTGTTTGTTCTCTGCCAGCCGCTGTTCTAAGGTTATATATAATATATATATTCATATACTGTAGATGTTTAATCTCATATCTTCCAACCCTGTGAGATAAGTACTGTGGTTATACCCATTTTACGGGTGAGAAAACTGTGGCTCTGCGAGGTTTGGTAATTACATCGTGGGGTCACACAGTTATCAACTGGTGGCGCCAGGACGCGATCCGAGGGATGCCACTTCAGAACCGCACACCTGCTCGTAAGATTCCAGGAGGCCAGAGGCCAAGGAAATGGAGAAGAGTGGGTGGGAGACCAGCATCTCCTCGGGCCCTGGGACCCCGGGGCCAGGGGTGCTCACACCCGACCCGGACCCGCGCCTCGCGCGCAGGACGCCTGCCCTTGCCCCAGAGCCCTGTCCCGCCCTCCGCGGCGCCTCCACGCCGGGCGCTCCCGCCGCCGCGGTAACTCGATCCGCCGCAGGGTCTGGGCCTCGGGTCGCGTCACCGGCGCGGAGACACCCGGGCCGCTCCGGGTCCGCGGCGGCCGCTCGGCAGTCGGGCGCGCGGGCGGATGGCGCAGAGGCCGGGCGAGCGGGCGCGGGGCCCCGCCGAGGCCACGGGGCTCTACCGGGCCGTGCTGCTCAGGTCGGGTAAGTGCGCGCGGGGCCCCCGGCCCCCGCCTCGTGCTCTCGGCCAGGAGGGCCGGGCGCCCAGCCTGGCCAGCCCGCCGCCGGGCGCCTCGGTCCTTCTTCATTTCTCCGCTTCCCTCCCTTCTTTCATTCTTTTTGATAACTTACGTTCTCCTTCCCCTCCCACACTCTTCCCTTTGGGAACCTACGCGCAGAAGCGTTGCTTCGTTCCTATGTGCGAGCGGGCGCGCAAAGGCGCGCGGAGGCGTGCGCAAGGGCCCCGGGGAGCCCGCCGCGGGGCGGGGGGAAGCACAGACGCGGAGCCGCGGGTGCTGCCCAGCGGGGGGTAGGCTGGAGGGCGAGAAACCGGCTTTCCGCGTATATGCGTGCAAAGAAACACAGGACACACACACGGTGGTTTTCAAGGAAAACCACCAGCGTTGGATGACAAGGTGTTTTTTTTTTTTTCTTTCTACTGTTTGTTTACTTATTTGCAATACGCACATGTTACTTTTCTACCCGGGATGATAAGAGATTTTTTTATTTAGGAAAATGAAACAAACGTGGTATACGGTCACTATGAAAATAATGTGGAGAAAAACAGATGTAGAAAGAAGAAAAGCAATGCCTGCAGGGAGCGTTTGGAGCGTTTCCCTCCAGATCTGTGCTTGGAAGGAGGTTTAGGGAAGGTGAAAATCGGTCTCCAGCACGGTCCCCGCCAGTTGGGGGTATGTGAATAGAAAGTGTCAAGGGACTTGGGCTCAAGGGACAGCTAGGATCCGCCCCCACCCAGTAGTGGCTTCTGCCCCAGCACGAAGTCCGCTCTGGGAGCCGCTGCGCTTCCTACTCGGCCTGGCTCTGCCCCCGGGAGATCCCCACGCGGAGCTACCCTTGGGAACACTGAAACAACGGTGCTCTTAAGTTCAAAAGCAAGAACTGGCCCAGACTTCAGGAGTAGTGGCGCCTTCCTGGGGAGAGAGCCTTACATCTGGCTGAGCTGGGGCAGGCAGAAAGGAAGGAGCTCTATAATTAGATGAATCTGATTTCAAATCAGAGCACTCCCCCTAAGTGCTCCCAGCCAGTTCCCCTCTTCTCACAAAGATGAGGAGGGGTTACCTAATCTGAAGACCACCCTATGTTCCCTCTAACCTGGAGCCGCAGCCATTAGCCTCATTCCAAAGGCAGAATTTTTCACCTGCAACCTATTCAGAATCACAGACGTATCACAGTTGTCTCAGGGGCCACATGCTTGCCCCTGAAGCCAGGGAGGGAGCGAGGCCTTGGACTAGGGTGTCATGAAGGGAGCATTTATTTTCTGCTAAACACTGCTGGCTCACTCCCTCTTAAATAAACCCTGTAAAGTCACTGCTAATTGTCATCCCCATTTAACAGATGAAGAGACTGAGCTTAAAGAGCTTAAGCAGCTTGCCCATGGTCCTGCTAAGAGAACTTTTCTGTCCCACTATGGGGTAGAAAACACATGGCCCATCTAGGCCAAAGTTTGCACACCTCCTGTCACTAGTAGTAATGATGGCAAATGATGTTGGTCACTTGTTATGGCCATTCTCTTTGTGAAATGCTATATATCTATCATCTCATCAACTTGATTCACTTATTCCTCCAACCAATATTTACTGACCAGTCTTACGCACTAGCTCTACGCAAGGCACAGGGATGTACTCATAAATACAACAGGTATGTCCCTCCTCTCAGGGAGGTAAGTCGTATTAACTCCTATTTTAAACTTGAGGAAACTAAGGCTCAGAAGATAATATAACTTGTCTGAAGTCACACAGCCAATCACGGTGGAGCTGAGATTCAAACCCAGGGCCATGTGCCTACAGAAGCATTAGTCGGGTTGTCTCATACAAGGAAAAGTAAGAAGAGTCAGGGTGAGGATCCAGCTGGGCCATTTAGTGAAGAGGCAAGAAGAACTCCCCTCCTTTAGATGTCCCCATGGACGGAATCATAGAGTCAAACCAACATGGTTGCCATCTTCCTTTACGGTAGCCTCAAGTCATGCACCAAGTAACATAACACTTTTAGAGATTTTTTTCATCACAAATTGTCTTAAAATAATTTTTTAATCTTAAAGTAATACATGTTCACCATGAAGATCTTGGGAAATTGAGAATAAAGAAGGGGAAGGCTTATCCACAATCCCACTAACCATAAGCAGCTACTGGTAACATTTGGGGATATCTCTGTCTAGTCTTTGCTGTGCATAGTGCGTTTGTGGTTGTATTTGTCTTACATTGTTTTATATCACTGAAGTCGTACCAACTCTAGTCTTTTTAAAATTTTTTTTAATGTTTTCTTTATTTCTGAGAGAGAGAGAGAGAGAGAGAGGGACAGCGTGAACAGGGGAGGGTCAGAGAGAGAGGGAGATACAGACTCTGAAACAGGCTCCAGTCTCTGACCTGGCAGTCAGCACAGAGCCCGACGGGGGGCTTGAACCCATGAATCGTGAGATCATGACCTGAGCCGAAGTCGGACCCCCAACCAACTGAGCCACCCAGGCGCCCCTCTCTTTTTTTATGGTTATTTATTTTTAGGGAGAAAGAGACAGAGTGTGAGGGGGGGGGGTGGTGAGTGGGGCAGAGAGAGAGGAAGACACATAATCCAAAGCAGGCTCCAGGCTCTGAGCTGACAGTCAGCACAGAGCCTGACGCGGAACTCGAACTTACAAACTGTGAGATCATGACCTGGACCAAAGTTGGGCACTTAACCGACTGAGCCACCCAGGCACCCCTACCAACTCTAGTCTTTAATCCCACTTTTTTCACGTGGATTAAAATCTTTTTGTTCTTATTAATTTTTAATGTCTATTTCTTTTGAGGGGAGGGAGGGGCATGGAGAGAGGGAATCCCAAGAATCCCAAGAGAGAGAGAATCCCATCGTGGGGCTCCATTTCACGAACCAAACTGTGAGATCAGGACCTGAGCCGAAATCAAGAGTGAGACACTTAACTGACTGAGCCACCCAAGCACCCAAAACCTTTTTGCTT